CTTCCTGTTTAATTAAGTGTATGAGACCAATAGTTTGGTATTATCCAGTTCTGCAGAACTCAGGAAACAGCTCTTATGACCTGCTGTCTCTAAAAGAAATCAAATCAAAATCATGAAAACATGGAGCTACCTTATCAGCCTGTATGAATTGCTAAGTTTCCACTTAGCAATGTTAATAAAACAACACTGATTTAAACAAGCAAAGAACTGAGAGTTTGACTAAAATCAGTCATGTTTAATTCAACAAAAATGGGAGAGGTGGGCTTCTGCATCAAGAAAACAGAGAGCAAATCGTGTACAGGTAATATAAACAACCTGCAGCAAGAGGAAAAAGATTAGCAGAACAAATTAAACAAATCATTCAAAAATGTTACAAAGTTCTTTTGTGGGCAGAATGATAAAACTTTCCCATTCACATCAGGAGAAACTTTACCACTAGAAAAAAATCTAAGAAAAGACAGCACTCTTTCCCTCTTCAGTTTTGTGCTACACACTTCATTTTCTAAGTCTTCTCACTTCGTTTTCTAAGTCTTCTATACCTTCCTATGGTGCTGCTCCCACCATGGACAGATTATTACAGAGCAAATGGCAATGAGAAACAAGCTCCAAAATCCACTTTTAGTCAGCCTGGCAACTGCAGAATCAGCTTTTGCTGTCTTGCTTGCATTTAAGAACTCAGAAAACAAGAAGAAATTGGGAGCTCACACCAAGTTTACAGTGGTTCAGAGGTGCTCACTTAATACGTTGGCCGTCACTGGTGATAAGAGAACCTGCCCTCAGAGGTTCATGGGATTTGTAGCACTCCAAAAAAGAGAAAACCAAAGTATCTTATCCCTAGTAATAATTTTAATTTATTATATTTATCAATTTAAGACTAGGTTTTGCATGTCTGGTATTACTGACTTGCAATGTCCAAGAAAATAAGCTCTTCAGATACAAAAGTCTGCATCTACACAGGACAAAGAGAACTCAAAATGCTTTCATTATAATGCTTACGACCTTCTAAGTATTGGGATGTGCTTTTTTGCAAATATTCTGAGAACTACAGACAAAAAGAACTATGTAACAGTGTGATTACTGATTACAGTAACTCCCATTATGTTAAAAAGAAAAATTCTCCTGTTCTTTCCCCTGCAGACACAAGTTTGTTGATTTTTAGTTTTAGTACATTTTATCAAAACCCCTAGAATCTGCCTTGCATATGCATAACTGTTGTCACTTATCCCAGAGCAACGTCACAAGACCAGCACTGATTTTAGGATAACTAGTCTGGGAATTCTTTCTAAATCTGCTGGGTTTTGTTTGATGCCACAGCTATTTCAGAATCCCACTACTGGTCAAAATACTATTCCTTACACAAAATGCAACTTTCTGCACTTTTCCAAGAAGTTGCAGAATATTCACCACTTACTTGGAACAGCTGCTCCTGCAACTGTAAGAATTAGATCATGAAAATGATCCCTCAGTAATATGCATTCATGTGTGCTTTATTCTAAAGCAGACAGAACAGCTCTCTGATACTTGAGGAAAAAATAAATTAGGATTCTCCTCACTGTGGTTAAATACTGTTCATTTCACAACCTGTCCCAAGTTGCTAAATACAGCAATTCAGGTAAGTTTAATTAAGCCTATTATCTCTTATCTACTAATTTTCTCACCAGAAAACATAATGGATTCAATTTAGCATATGAGCAAGGCAACAGCTATACTTTTTTTTTCCTGTTTCTGAGCCAAGAAGAAGGAAGTTCCCTATAGTATCCTGTTATAGGAGAACTGTGTTTTCTTCCATTGGGAAATTGTCCCATAAAATTCTGAGCAGAACCAACTCAATTGCACAAGCATGAACATACAGATACTCAAACTAAGTCAAGTGAAACCTTTTAAAACTCAGGGAACTTTTGATGGAATTCAAGACTAAACTGAGGGAGGAATTTGACTGAGTGATTCACGGCATTATTCACAACGAAACTACTACATTAGTTATTTTTTAGTTTGAGCTTTTTCAAATACATGCTGATCTGACCAAGTAGAATAAAAGAAAATAAAAAATTACATTCACTCCTGTCATGGAGTATCCTTTAACAAGAAGCATGTTTTTGTGATTAATATAAAAAAACCCCAGGCTTTACAAAGAATTCCATGTAACTTTACATTAAAATAGCCACCAAACCTTGGAAAACCAACCCATCTGCTTTCTCCTGTACTATGAGGTACTTCCCTAATTTACAGAGAAGGTCAGTGCTGTATTCACTCACACTTGTACAATGCAAAGATAGTTGGAAATCACTTTCTCAATACCAAATATTTTAATTTTGCTTGTAACCTTAGAGCATCTCCTTTGATTCCAGTGCATGCCAAATCCCTGTGTTAGCTCAGAAGAAGCTGTTGAGTGGTTTTGGATCTGTTATTCCTCTGCAAAACTGTGCATTCACAATTTAATTGCCAGGTCATAGTCTGGCTGCTTTACAAAATCAACTGTCTGGAGTATCTAAAGCTTTGACAGAATTCTGCACAATGAGATGATAAATCAAACCAACTGGCAGTTTTTTCCTTTTAGAAACTGTAATTCTATACACTATCGCTTTTATGCAACAAGCTTTTCCTGAATTGTGTAACTATGGATGGAACAGAGCCATGAAGTCAAAGCCAAACGGTTCAGAGATTCAGGATGTCAAAATTTGAGTTCTTGATAAATTACAGACAGACTTAATTGTTGAAGTTAAAATACACATCGGAAAAATAACCAAGTTTGAAGCTATTTTATTCTGATTTTCAAGTCTATTAACTTTTGATGGGATACAGAATGTTCTCATTTACTACTTGTTCCTGTGTCTGTTAACAGTAGGAAATGAAGAACAACGTTTTTTCCTTTTTTTAAATTTGCTTGGTCAAAATTATTAAATGTAATTGTAAACTAGACACACAGAGTTCTGTTTCAGAGTCAACACTGTTCAGGGATAATGTCTTACCTCCATCTGCAAGGTTTACCTCACATTATACTATTATGGGGAAAGAAAAGCTGCTTTTACAAATATCCTGAAGAATCTGAATCACAATTGGACTAAACCTCTCTGCTGCAAGATGCATGTATATGTTGGTGGTCTTCTAAAGCTGGCCAAAATAAACAGCAGCAGACAGACCCAAGTTATTCCATATTCCCACCTGATTTCTCAACTACTCTCTACCACTTCCTGCATCCAGGACATTGCATTAAATACAATTAAGCTCCTGTACCTGCTCACTAGACATTCCTACTTCTCTGGTGCTCTGGTACTACTGATTGCCTTCACATCCATTCATACTTCATTCTTATTTTTGCCCTCTTCTGCCATTCCTCACTATCTTGACCAAATTGAGATGTCTAAAGAAGAAAACTGGAATTGGAAGGCAATTTTAAAAGCTTTCCATTAAAGGAGAATACTCTGCAAAGTACATGAGCAGCCACTGAGGCTGTTCTGTTTTTGGACCAATATGTTCCACCAAACTGTATTTGCTGTTTCATCAGACCCCACATGCCCCGTCACTTCTTCAACAGATGTGCATGGAAAACCTTGAGAGGGGCAGCTGGGTGGAAGTTATCAGACTAGTTTCAACAAAATTGTGTGGAGTACTTCATAATCAGGATTTTTCTGACAGAGCCACAATTTTCTGAGTAGTGTTGTGATGAAAAAACTAAGGCCAGGCCCAGAGCAGAAACTTTTCAACTCAGCTTTGCTGCTGCTAAAACAAGAGTGGGAGAGCAGTTGCAGGTAACTTCAGCTCATAATTAGCATTCAGAGCTAATTCCACAAGAAAATCTGCAGGGGAAGAAATCTCCACTGACAGGGCTGTAACACCTTAAGCCACTACAGTTGCTTGCAAAGTCAATCTCTAAGGGCACAGACTAAGAACTGGAATAATGGTGCACTTTCTAAACCAAAAAGCTGGTCAGAATGTGCAAATGAAGTCTAGGGGAAAAAGTTTCATTTGAGCAAAGCAGTTTCTGCACACTTAAATTTTCAGCTCTTCTCTAACAATAACCCAGTCACAGTCTCCTTCAAAATCCCTACTTGAGACACCATGCCTAAAATTCATATATCTAATCTCGCAGAGAAGGTGTGTCGGTGTGTTTGTTCTACAAAGTACTTATACATGTATGTGTATATACATAGTCCTAAAATTATTTTTCAGCCTCAGAAAAAAAAATCCAGTATTCTTCCTATATACAAAACCCTTGTGCTGATACTTCTGAAGGCTCACTCATCTCTCATCAGCCTATACATACCTTCTGAAGTTCAGCCTGAATTTATCACTGCTCTGCTCCTTTCCCAGAACAACAATTAAAACCCTGCCATTGTGCAATGCACAGGGGACTTAAAGAACCATTGCCTTAAGCGTACAAAAACCAGCAACAAGTGCAGTTAATGAACCATCTCCAACATTTTGAAGAACCTTAGTTTATGGACCAGGTAGATCTCTTTTAAAGTAATGCAAACTCAAAAAACTTGGCTGCATCTATGGGAGACACACTTAAAAAGAGTAGTATATGTAGTATAATAGTAGTATATGTAGTAGCTTTCTTGATCTTTTGTTCATGACACTCATATTTGAACAAACCTACCCCCGCACAAAGTAGCAGATATGGCTTCTACAGCTGTATCTACAGTGATGAAGCAGTTGGGAATTGTCTGTATATGTAATAAAAGTCACATGTCCAAACATGTCTCTGCTTTTCTAAGCTGATCTCAATATAAATTTAAAACAGGATGTCAGTGTCTTACCTCTTGAACTTCCTCTTGTATTATTGCCCACAACACAACCCAGCAGATGGTAAAAAGCTGAAAACATTTATTCAACTACTTTACAGAGTAAACCAATTAAGGTCAAATATATTAATTGAAAATAGACAGAATTCCACTGGGTACAATCACGAGTTGGCTTAAAAGTATATTGTATATAAAAATGCTCTTTGAAAGCATCTAATAAAGGTAAAGGCAGAGCAATATAAGCTGAAAAACTGCTTAAGGCAAACAAAAAGTATTTGTTTGTTCTTTGTTTCTTAAAAAAGTGTTACCAAAATATTTTCTTCACAATTACTTCCATATTTCTAAGTACAGATGTTAAGATTGCATGACCATTGATAGAGGGCCTTTACAGCCATGAAAAACGTCAGACACACCAAAAACTTATATGAGAGACAGTGAGCTCATGACATCAAGAAAGCATTTAAGACTTCAAAGTGTTTAAAAAACCCAGGCTAGCAAAGCGATACACACATCACCATTTTCCATAATCAAATTGCTGACAGCTGTAACTAGATAAGAGGAATTACGTAATTCCATATAAAATGTGAAGTATGGAAGCATTGGAGTAAATGATGTTATTCAAACTGCTGAGATGATTTCACATGGCATATGCGGTACCTGATATAAAACCCACTGAAGCAACTCGAAATTTGTCTGTGGTGTTTCAACTGGCTACGAATTTTATTACTGCTACATAAAAAAGAAAAAAAGATGCAGTATGGAAAATGAGAATTCAGAATTATTTAGCAAAGACTTCAGCTAACAGGGCATGGATTTGTGCTCTTCAGCACCTCACTGTTATGTGCTGTAGAAACTACTTGGCAACACTCCTGAGAACTATATACAGACACCAAAACCATGAGGTGTTAAGTATCCCCTAAATACGTGCCCCAGTAAAACATGTAATACAGAAGGTAGTCTCTCTGGATTGAAATGCATATATATAACATACATGTTATGCTGTCAACATGTTTATATTACTAATATAATAGAAACAGCTAAACAAATATCCCCTTTCAAAAGTATACTAACTAAAGTATCTCAGCAAATGCCTAGTAAGGTGTCAAATCATAGCATGTTACACTTGAAAAATTGTAATGCTACTTGTACCAGTTATAAATATACACACTTGTCTCAATTTCCAGCTTTGTGAATCATACTGGAAATCATATAATAGCCAAAAACTGCAATTGCTCACTTCCACTACTGGAAATCACCTTCGCTTCTTAAAAAGTAGAAACAGTTTAGAGTTAAGATTACAAATCTGTGTTGCATCCACTGAGAATTAAGACTGTGTAGCCTTCACATCAACTCTAGAACCAAGCCCAGTACTCCTTGGTGTGACAGACCAGCCACTCTCACACGGTCCTGGGTGGCAGCTGCTGTTTGTACATCCCTGCCAGGGCCTTGGCCGCGCTGTATATCATCTGCCGGCGGGACATGCCCGTGAACACCATGTGCCAGTCCGTCCTGTTCACGTTCAGGACATTCTTCTCCAGCACTTCGCCCAAGGTCACCAGCAGGCCTGACCATCTCAGATTGTAGTCCTGAGGAGTGAGACTCTTGGCCTGTGCAACATTGTGAGAAGGAGTTACTTAGAGAGTTTGAAATTAGTAGTTTTACTTCTATTTTCACAACTTTCACAAGTGATCATTCTTATATCAACAGACTTACATGGCAAATTAAAGGGTTATCAGAATCAGATTTCAGATTGCCCCATAATTTGCCAAGCAAATTATTTGGATTTCTATGTATCATGATGCAAGCAACATCTGAAGAGTATAAACTAAAATACAAAGCTTAAGAGAGTAAAGACATACTGCCATTCTCTTATAAAGTAGCCAACAGATGGAATCAATAACAGTATGTATTTATACAATACATACCCTCCAAAAGCTTTAAAAACAGTTAAAATGTCTGTCTGAAGCAGGCAAGTAGCCAAATGCAAGGAGAAAGCTGAGCCTGGTAGAAAAGAAGGGCTGAGAGATTTGCATGAGATCACAAAGGGATTATATATTGTCATTACACAGAATTGTAGCCCTGCCACGGGCAGGGACACCTTCCACCAGACCAGGTCGCTCCAAGCCCATCCAACCTGGCCTTGAACACTTTTAGGGATGAGGTAGCCACAGCTTCTCTGGACAACCAGTGCCAGAGGTACAGGTAACAATTTCTTCCTACTATCTAAGCTAAACATTCTGTCTGTCAGTGTGAAACCATTCCTTCCTGTCCTGTCACTTCAGGCCCTTGTAAATAGTCTCTCTCCACGTTTCTTGTAGCCCCTTCACATCCTGGAAGGCCACATTTAGGTCACCCCAAAGCTTCTCTTCTCCAGGCTGAACACTCCCAACTCTCCCAGACTTTCCTCACAGCAGAGCTGCTCTATCCCTCTGATCATCTTGGTGCCTCCTCTGGACTCACTCCAGCAGCTCCATGTCCTGGCTGTGCTGGGCCCCCAGGGCTGGAGGCAGCTCTGCAGGTGGGGTCTCACCTGAGGGGGCAGAGGGGCAGAATTCCCCCCTGCCCTGCTGCCCCCACTGTGGGATCAGCCCAGGGCACGGGGGGTTTCTGTGCTGGGTCATATCCAGCCTCTCCCCCACCAGCACCCCCAAGTCCTTCTCCCCAGGGCCGCTTCATCTGCTCATCCCCAGCCTGGATTGATCCTGGAGGTGCCCCAACACAGGTGCAGGACCAGCCCTCGGCCTTGTTAAATCTCAGGAGATTCCCAGGGGCCATTCTGGAGCTTGTCCAGGTCCCTCTGGATGGCCCTGTCCTTCAGGTGTGTCACTGCACCCTCAGTTTGGTGTCTCCTGCAAACCTGCTAAGGAAGTCCTCAGTCCCTTCATCCGTGTCATTATTGAAGATGTTAAATCACACTGGCAGCAATACAGGCCCCTGAGGGCACCACTGGTCACTGATGTCCATCAGGACTCTGAGTCACTGATCACGACCCTCTGGATGTGACTGTTCAATCAATTCCTTATCCACTGAACAGTCCATCCATTGAATCCATCTTTAATTTTGAGTGGGGGACTGTGTCAAGAAGTCCAGGTAAATGACATCTGTACCCCTCATTCCGCAGTTGGAACCAGAAGGGAAACAGTGGAGGAAGCATCACTGCATTTCTCTGGTCTGATGCTCATCACAGGCAACCACCTCCTTCATACAGATTTTGAGTTCGTCCATTTCCAGTGCAGGTACAGCAGATCAAGAGCATTAGTGTACTCTGCCCTTCCTAAAACTACTGTCTTGCAACTACAACAGCATAGGTTTGTCAGAATATGCAGAATACTTTGGGTTTGAAAGGGACCCTTGAATATTTTTTCCTGTAGCTTCATGTCTTTCTCCACTGTTTTTGAAAAGCATTTTGGAAAACTACAGAGACAGAGCAATATTTCTCGTTTTGCCACTCATCAGCTTTTCGAGGCTGCAAGAACTCAAGAAAATAAGAACCAATCCCACAAATGCTCACTTATTGAAATGGGTACTACTTAAAAAAAAAACCAGTTACTATTTGTTTTCTCAAAACAACCCCCAGGGATCAAACCCCAAACAGTTTTGGTTTTACATTCTTCATGGAAACATTTATTTAAAACGAATTTTCAGACCAGAGTTAATTAATGTATGACTCATATCTGCTGTCAGGAGACATGCAGTGACTGGAGTAATTCCCAGCCTGTGTCCAAAGAAACTTAAACCATCTCATGAAAACCTTCTATTGGGAATATTTAAGAGTTGTACATTATTTTCACCGAGATGAACCATGATATTTCCTAGATTGAAACTTTTTGATTTCAAATATTTTACATCTTTGTCAGAATAGCACACTCAGAAGAGGAAATCAGCCTTGCTGTTTAGGTGGGAGGCTATATGCTCATAGGGAATTCTTGTATTTCCTTTTTGAGGAAGTAATTCTCTCTGGTTGATTTCTTCTTGGTCAGTGTTTCTTCTTTTTTAATAGGAAAGTAAAATTAGTGCTCCATTGATCAAAATTAGACCCTTGATCAAGAAATGCTTTGCCATAAATGCCTGAAGACTTTTAGGTAATACATTAACATGATTCAAAAACAGTTTTTATCCTCATTTCATAAATGAAAACATTCAAGTGGAGCAACTGCCAGTAAGAACTGACATCATAAATAAAATTAAACCTTAAATCTTACTGTTAATTGGTAAGAAAACTGAAAACTCACCTGCTGAACATATTGCAAAGGCACTGGTGTTGCTTGGGTAAATGCTTCCAGGTGAATTCCATGAATTGGATCCTCAATAATCAGACATCCAATGTCAAACCACCTGCAATGACACGCATATTACTTTTTTTCTGAGTATCACTCAACTGAAAACCAACAGATTAGCAGTTAAATTATGACCATTTTACAAAATCTACTTCAAATGCAGTAATAATGTCATAATGAGACTCATCAAAGCATTCCGGTATTTTTCAAGTAAAGTTTGCATATATCAGTTTTCTGCATTATAGCGCATGTGTATGTATGTGAAATACATAATATACATAGAAATACATATATGAAACTTACAATCAAGGACACAAAGAAAGCTGAGGTGTTGGGTGTGCATGCAGATACATTCCTTTGGCCATAGTTGTTATGCTATTATTTTCATTCAATCTTTGAAAGAACATTTCTCATTAAAATAACCTTCCCTAACAATTAAAAAATATATGTATTTATCACTCATGCTCTATATTCAGAAGATTTTTTGGCATGTCTAATGCTGTAACAACTCCTTAAATGATTTATTCAGAAAAACACTTCTGCCCCTCCCAGAGTATTTCCCAATATCCCTTCTGATACAATTTCAGAAAAAGAGAAGAGAGGATGCACACAGGAGTGCACAAACCACTAGCCAAATTCCAACTTTCACAGCTCCTTAATTTTTTCAGTTCGGTATAACTTCACTGTGTTTTTATACTGTGAATCTGGAAAAACCTGACAATGATTTTTATATATTAAAAGTCTCAAGATGTCTGGACAAAGAGCTGAACATCATCACCAAAATCAAATCTGCCAAAGCAAAACTGAAGAGAGACCATCTCCTTTCTTCTGCTCAGAGTGATACTGACACCAACTCCTCTGAGTCAAAAAAGAATATTCCTGACCCCCCAACAACATATTTGATGTTCTTACTTGTCAGGAAGCAACTCCTCAATGAAGTTTTCCACAGATACAACAGGCTGTTTCTCATGGATGACTCCTGCCCGACGCAAGCTGTCTATCCTTTCCTGTGCTCCCTGAATGGTGACAGGAGATGTTAGACAACACTCTCTTTGAACCACAACACAGTACAATGTTTACAGATTAAACCCAGAAGAACTCTGGAACATACTTTTCAAGTTAAACAGAAAATATGAGAGATTTTGAAAATTACTCTTATTTCAATGTCAGGAAAAAAAACCCAACCAAACTCATGAAAAGCCATAATGGAATCCCAAACAGTAATAAACACTATGATAAAACAAATTAAATATTTTTAGGTTTTTGTATTCCAAAAAAAAGCCCAGAGCAGCAGCTAAAGAATTCCTAATCTGTAACTGTGTCAAGTTTCACTATTAGTGAAACCATCAGTGCATATTTCTGTTACTCACACTGACAATTTTGCAACTTAAGACTTCTTGGGTTTAGAGCCTTTGAGTGCTTTGGAGTAACTTCATAAGACCAAGGCAAAGAATCAATTTGTTGTGGTACATATCCAACTAAAATGTAGGAATCACTCACTTGAAAACTATTATCCCTCTGAAGTTGTAATAGAAATATTACGACCACTACACTACAGTAGCTAAACAAGTAAAGGAACATACACATTATTCTGCTTTACCTCCATATACAATTGTATCAGCTAATATATTACTGTGAGAACAGGCTTTACTCTGCTGCAAACACTGCCACAACAGTCAGGGGAACAGACTTCCTTTTTCATGAGTTTTTGCTAACATTTAATAAACACAATGCTAAATAGCTGTTTTCAGGATTTTTAGTTACTGGCCAAACCCTTGCTAACCCTTCCTCTGGGGCAGCACAGCAGTCTGCAAGGCTGCACAGTGAATTACTTTTCAACCAGAACATAGATCTGTTTGCGATGATCCCTGACAAGTGTTAATCAAACAATCTTTCATCTACAGAATTATCAGAGAGACAATTCAGTCTCAAAGAATCTCTTTTAATTTCTAGTATTCCCAACATGATTTGCTAGTCACAGACTATTCAAAAATGCCTGATGTGCTTTTAAACTACAGTAATATCACAATGTACACAAGAAGCGATGGCAATCAATGACAGCGTAAGAAAACTGACATAAATAATCTTAACTTGCTGTGAATGTGTTTGCAAAAAAACTCAAAAAAATCTTTCAACAAGCAGCTCTAAACTGGTCTGATGATTCAAATGGGAAAAAACCCCAAGCTAAACCAAACAAACAAAACCGTCACTCCCCAAAAAACAACAACAAAGCAACCAAACAAACACACCAAAAAAAAACCCAAAAGAAAATGTTTACCTATCCCCCAAACTGACTTCCACTTCATGGAAAATGAGATTCTTCTGTGTGAATCTCTGTGTTGGTGGTACTTGGGTACTGTTACATATCAACTTACCCTTAAACCTGCAGCATAGCCCACAGGTTGGGGTGCAATGTTAGACTGTGCAGCCTCCCCAGTAACAACAGCCATTCCAAAGACTTCTTGAAAGGCATCCCGAATTGCTGCCACTTTTACCTCTTTATTAGAAGTGACCACTATGTCCAGTTCTCCCCCAGTTCCTGTAAAATAATTTTGTAATCTGTAAAATACACATGTGTATATGTTTTTCCTCATTCCCATTATTAGACAGTTCAAATACATTCTCCATCTCAACAGTATTTTTCAGCTGCTCTCCTCTTTCTCATGCACTGTACAATAGTTATTTCATGAAGCAGAAGTAACTTAAGCTAGGAAGTATAAGTTAGATGAATAGGTAAGTGAAGCATGGATGAAAGAGAGACAACAGGAACTGACAGTTGTTCAGCACCTGAAAGAAACCACAGCACCCATATAAGATGACAATTTATAGAGATTTAGGAAAACTGACATCCATTTCTAAGGATGTGTTGGTGTTCTGGGAAGCAGTAAGGAATGCTCGTGTCACACGCAAACTCTTCCTTATGAAAGGGATCAAGAACATAAAAATCAGTGAACAGCTGTCAAATTACATCATTTTTTTAAAAAAAGGCTCACATTACTTTTTAGTTGCCCTTGGAGCATAAACTTGTCTTCCTCCCTAATGCTTTATCCTGTTTTTTGAAGTTAAATATCTATAAAACCAAAAACTTGTATACAGTTCTGACTGTTTTCCAAAGGGAGGTATCTCCATATAGAAGCAGGAGTTTTCACTAAGCTTTTTTAGAATAAAACAAAGCAAATTCATGAATTAAAAGAAATCATAAACTACTACAAAACACTGGCGAGCTCAATCATACCTCACATCTGTCTATCACAGCAAAAGTTCCCCCAGTGATAATGGAAACCCAAAGCTTAAATTTCAAAGAAAAGAACAATTTACTCTTTTGCTCATATTACGCAGCAGACCTCAGTTACAGGAATCGTCTTATTTTTATGAAAAATAACCAGAGATATGCCAGAACAGTAGTAAAACATACTATTTGGGGTTTTTTGGGGTAATTTTTTAACTTTATTTATCAATTGCTTTACTGAATGGAACTGAACGTACACATCACTGAACTTTGGGCAATTGTTTTGAACTACTGGTTAACTACTGGATTAAAAAATAATTGAGAGTATATTTTTTCATGGATTCCTTCTGGATAGAAATGAATTTAATATAATTAAACAAGTGCTTAAAATTGACTGCAGGTATTTACTGAAGTTAGCCTTGTTTGAGCGCCCAGGAACAGAAATACTGTTAAAGTGCTTCTAATGAAGCCAAAAACTAATCCATAACAGATCTAGTAAATTACTGCATAACAACACTAAGAACGGTAACTATGCCCCATGTTTAGATGGAGAATACAGAATATGCTCTTTTGTATTAAGGATCATCAAATAGCAAAAGCATATCTTTGTTCATCACAGATACTACTACAAAAGAGAAACAAGGATATTACATGCATTAAATAAAAACATTTGTGATAACATCTGTGTGATAACATTAGGACTATATGGAAATATTAAAATCTAAAATATAAGAACTAGGTATAAACTGGTAAAATCAGGGACAGAATTGTCACATCAAGTTAAGCTCTGACACTTGACTGTGATATGTCACTGCATATTATAAACTGAAATAACATTTACACACTCAATTTAAGATTCCCTGACATCTTTTGTTATAAAAGCATTGATGTTTATGCTTACAGGGTAAGCAGACAGAAATTGTCTATTCCAGGTGCATGACTCAGATGACATCTTCACAATGTGCCAATGAAAACAGCTCAGCTCTTTTCAAGAAAGAGACTACAGAAATACTATTTGCTTCCTGTTAATTTTCAAGATGTAATTGAAATGCTTTTACATTTCAAGTGTAAAAGTAGTGTGCTATTATATTGACTTCTCTGGCATTTATATGCAACACCCAATGGTTTGTCATAAACACTTACTGATATAGGGAACCATGCCAGGATCCAGTGTTGTGATCATGGTCTCCACTGAATGTTTGGTTTTATCAAGAACAGACTTCACCATGGGATTCTCAGCTACACCCTAAATTTAAGCAAATACATTTCCATATTATCTTCTGTTTTCTTTCCCCCTTCAAGAAATTCAAAATGTTACAGTTAAAAAGAAAGAAAAACAAAATACTAGGCTGCTTTGTGTGCTTCTAACCATTACACTTTTTAATGGCTTGTTGTATGTCATAACTCAGCACAAACACTACATGATATGACTATCACAGCTTTTCAGTTACACCAGGAAGTTTAAATATTATTTTCTGCATTAATGCAGAAACAGCCCCATTATCTTGCAAAGCCAAGAAGTGATTCTCCAATTAGCAGCCTGGTTGCCTAACTAACACAAAGTCATTATAGAGATGGTTCCTGATCAGCTCCTACCTATGGAAGATGCCCTAATGGTTCATCTGCCGAGCACAAACAGGGAGACATAATCCACACTTTTATACCAATGTAAAACATGAATTTACCACCACACTGTGAGCCACAATGCAGTTAAATCTGAAATTCCTATCAGCCAATTCTATGGCAACATAAACCCAGATTGCTCAAATGGAGGATCTTCCATGTAAGCAGTGCACAAAATTAAAGTTGAAAATTCAGGTCCTGGGTGCCTTCATTGCTCAAACAGTCAAACCTGCAAGGTGTTAGGTGCAATGACTGCAATACTATTCAACTTTGCCTCTGATACATTAGGTAGAAATCAATCTGGGAACTGACACAATCTCATTTGATTCTAGATCATTAACTTGTCAATTTTAGATTATTGTCATAGTTTGGGGTATTACCTAGCTTGAAGGAAATCTGGAGGAATAGTGTATGATTTCTTAAGAATACCAAGGGAAAAAGGGTATTTCAAATTATTTCAAGAACAGAATTAAAGATAACTGCTGCAACTATTGTCTAAGCTCTTCAGTAGGGAATTCCAGATGCATTTCTGTAATAACTACCAGTTTAAGTCCCATATTCTGTCTGATCTTTAAAAAACACAGACTGAGGTGTGCTTACATACATCAAGAACTTGGTGCTTTCAGTGTAGTTAACAATTCTTCATTCTTTCCTCATTCACCTGGGAAATTCTCAAGAAGAGGTCACTGAACACGCAAAGCACATGGAATGCTTCATACTTCAACCACAATCTGGGCTTCATTATTGAAGTCAATGATACTGACCTTCTCCATAAATACAAACAGGACATCTTCTGGATCCTAGTAGCAACACTAGATAACACCAATGTGGAAGAGATTGGCTTTCCAACTGATTTGCAATTGAAAGCTCTGGGACTCTAAAAAGGGCTACAGAATCATGTCACAAGTAAAATATTCCCTTCTGGAAAACTGCAAATATTAAGAGGAATGTAATGACTGAAAGGAGGACATTGATATTTAAAGGATGAAAGATGTGTTTTTATGATCATAAAAAGACATCTCTCCTTGAAAAGGGTAGCATAACAACTCTGTTCTTGCTGTACTGACGGAGAATTAATCTTGCTCTTCAAGACTGTATCACTGTGTAATTCTACAGTAGGGGAGGGCTCAGTTTGCCATGTCACACACAACTTTTCCTCCCAGTTTTTCATGTTCAAAACAGCTTGAAACTCCCTTGAAAACTCTGCAATCCTGCTGGGACATTAAACTTGATTCTTTCACGTTTAGTATGACAGTACAGAAAATGGTGTTGCTCTTAAGGATAGTTTTTTTCCCACAATCTTCATGATGCTACTTATATGTAGCATCTGTTACAGCCCCAAATAGGTTACAGGCTAATGATATTCTACTAGTTGATGTCACTGCTCATTTCCTCTGTCTGATTAGATTGCACCACAAGGAAAATCTGTTCTGCACTATATATTCCATGCCTTCTAGCAGAATAATCTTACAAAGTATCTTAGACACTTCTTTGTGATTGAGAAAATATGCAGTTTGTCTTTCTTTGCAAAAAGACCTGTTACAGAACATCTTATTTGTTACAGAACAAGCATGGTTTGCATCCCATAGAAATCAAACTGAGTTAATTAGGAAATTATAAATGTGATATGCAAAGCGTTCAGGTGAGGTAAAACAGACCATCTTCTTCTGCATTCAGGCATTGTGAAGTAAAAGTTACTTTTCAGGTCTTTCAGAGGTTCTAAAACTTCATCTGATTTAAGAACATGTGACAGAACCTGACAGATATGTTCCTATCACAGGACTAAAATTAACCTAGAACACCTGCATTTGTCTAATCCCTTCTCTTCTATACAGAGGAAGAGCAAAAGCATAATTTCAGCAAACATCACTATTAAAAACAGCCACCTTGCACATGAGACTGGAAAATAAACAGGATTTGTAGCAATGAGTATTTAAAAATTAAGATACATCTTATTATAGTCAGTAAAAAAATGGTAATTCCTCATGAAGGTAACAGATAAACTCCCATACCTTTATAAATCCCCACAGTCCTCCAGCAGGTGCTCCACCATGGGTAGTAGATACTCTGGGGTCTTCATGCTCCTCAGGAAAAGTGATTGCAGAGCCAACCCCAGGAGACAAAGATGATGAGCAAGTTGCTTGTTGAGTGATGGGATCAGCCAAAACACCTCATAAGAGGGACAAATAAAATACAAGTGTTCACTTATTTTACTGCAGTTAATTTGTTATATTGCAGCAACGTGCAATTGTTTGAGAGGAAAACTGCAGGAAGAACAGAAGAATACTGGGCTGATTCACTTCACTTCTTGAAGGTCCCAGAACAATTCTATTTGTTAAAAATTACTGCAACAATATCTTCTAAAAGAACTGACACTGCTGTACATTATGTACAAAGTTAAACAATGATTTTTTTTTTCTTATCAGGTTAATTTAAAAGTTGTTGTTTTCATCGCTTTCAAATTTTCAAAATAAACCCTCCGAAGAGCAAAGAGAGCAATAGGTGTTACTCTCTAAACAAAGAGACAGGAATGTTCTCATACAATAAGAGAAGTAGGACATTTTCTAACACCAAGTGGTGGAAATTAGTACCAGAAGGAAAAGGAGAAAGGTTTACATATTTCAAGGGAAAACAAAAGAATTTAAAGAGTAGAAAAATAAAGCATGAGCCTTTGCCCAGTTTTAACCCATTTTCCAACCTAGCCTTAATCAAGAGTTATTTTTATTTTACACTGCACAACTGATAGCTCTTTTTAGACATTTTCCTAATACAGACTACTTAAAAGAGGTATCACCAATAACAGTAAAAGCCTGGCCCAAATGCAGCTGAGAGCCAAGTTTCCATTCCACTCCACTAGCTTGAAATGACATCAGTTCAGCAACCACAGCAACTGTTTTCATGGAAGGTATGTGTTTTCAGCTGTCCTAATGCAATTTAGTGACTGGAAACAATAAAAAAAACTGCTGTCATGAGATGGACAGCTTGTTGTAGATAGATTTTGAGAACAAAACCCTGAAAACTATGAACTGCAGCCTGAGATATACCATTCTGGGGAAATAAAATAGGTGAAGGTGGCTCTCTGAGCTAGACAAAAGCTATGTATGTATGTATGTGTGTTCAGCAAGGCTTTCCTGTGCAAGTTAAAAAATAAAGTTTTCAAAGATTTTTCTGTGAACCTGAACACTACCAGAACACCACTAAAATCGACTCGCTGTCCTGGATCATGACTGTATTTTAAAGGCTATTATCCCTTCTCCTGAGTGCAACTATGCTAATTAAGTGTACCTATAATTATAAAGAAGCTGAAGTAGCAGAGTGGTGTAAAAAAAGCCACCCAGGAGACCACTCATCCTGTCTCACAAACAGGAAATCATATAAACTGAGAGTTACCTGTGACTGGAGGTGCAGAAAATGAAGGCATCAGTGGGTTCTGTGGTGCTCGACCAGCATGACCCCTGGTGATATCATAGGTTGAGGACACGGAAAAACCTGAAATGGGGGGACCAGTGGGAGGTGCAGGAAGACCAGGGCTAGCAGTAAACCTTAATGCAGGTGGAGCAGAGAACTGGGACATGGGGGTACTAAAGGCTAAAGGGGCAGCAAGAGGTAGGGCAGGACTTTGAGATGGTGCAAGAGAAGAAATCGTTGCAAAAGGCACAGGTGGGAAAGAAGCCGAAGTCAGAGGAGGAGGAGGAGGAGGAGAAGGAGGACTAGGAGGAATTGTAGACAATCCAGCTGGAGAGGATGGTGAATATGCAGGAGAAGAGGACATGCTTGGTGTAGAAAGGGGACTGGACAAAGCTGGGGAAAAAAAGAGAAAAAAAAAATTTTAGAAATGCTAAGCCTTCAGTTATGTAATTGTTCAGATACTTCACAAGTAAATTTTGACCTGGTCTGTTTTTCTTCCCCCTTCAAGTTAATTTTAGTCTTGCTTGACTTTTCACACACCACCAATTGCACTCAACCTTTGGTGACAGAATCTTTGTAAGACACATCTCTTTTTCTTGCATGACCCTATTTGTCACAAGCTTAAAAAGATAAGTCAACATTTGACTACTGAACTTAGAGCAGCTGAAATCCGCCCCAAATTTCTAGCTAGTACTGTTCTTTCTGAGTGACTGCTTAATCAACAACGCAGGACACTCTCATCTTCAAGAATAAACTAAGGCAGAAAACCAGAAATTACCGTTTTTGATAGCAGTAAGATGTTGGATAAGCTTAAGCAGCTTACTGGCCTCAGGTTAAACATCAATCACAGTCAGCAAATCACTGTGGTTTCCAAACTTTACCACAAACACCTATCAGTAAAAAAATTTTGAGCACTTCCCCATTTAAATTTATTTACTTATAAATTATTTACATGTACCACTGCACTAATATGCTATATATATTACAAAACATACACAACAAAAATGTAAAAAGGATGAAATAAAGATGAAGGAAAAAATTTTAACAGTACAAAAACTCTTCTGCTTCCACTCAAAATTCTTTTATTAATATACTATCAATATAATAATAAATTAATATTGATTAATGTGCTTTATAATACAACTATTGATAGCAGCTTTTTAGTGTGAGCAGTGCCACTGAAAAAACCTCAGTAATTTTTACTTCTTGGTTTAACACCTCATGATGCAGCAATTTGAAGGTCTGGTTCTGTGTTTAGACTATTTTGATACTTGGCTTTAAGGGCCACCATAGCTGGAAAAGATACCTCAAATTGATCAAAATGGAAGAAGTGCATCATTGGCTGTGTTTGCTATATCTTACTATTTTATTTTCCACTCCCACCATCATGCACAGGTTTTCCTTGAAATGCAGGCAGAAAAACTTTCATCTTCCCTGATGTCAATCGATTATTCTTGCAAAATGAACATGCTGCATTTTCATATTTTTAACAAGTGGGTTCAAATTCCACTGAAACTGTTTGGAAGAGGTTTACACAGGTCAGGAAATTCTCATTCCAAGTTTAAGTGTACAGATCTGACAGTTTTTATGGAACACTTGCACTGGTTTTGGCAACAGGAACGTATAATAATGGAAATATTTCCAAATATCAGTTTTCATAATGCTTTCTCAAAAGCATGACTTTCTTACAAAAGTAGCTCCTGTATCGCTCCTTGTTAAAATGTCACCTTTACCTTGAAAGGACAAATTATGAGTGCATTTTTGTTTTAAATATCTGCTAGGCAGCACACTGCTGAAAGCCCCTTGTCACAGAAAGCATCAGCAAATCTGGGACACTCTTCTTTTTGTAAAAAAAAAAAAAGTTCATGTCAACATTGAGTTCAACAACTCTTCTACAACACCTTGCCAATGGTGACCAGCAAATTGTGCAATACAAAAAAAGTATTTCACCCCCCATCTCATTACAAAATACTGTAAAAAAATCTACTACTTAAAGGCCATTTCTATAAAATTAACAACATTGGTGACATCCCGTAACACCTTGTGCACTTCTGGCTCCAGTTTCTTTGCTGCAATGGCTTCCCTAGGAATGGAGGCACTGAATATGTTTCATGTGTGATGGTATCTCTGCAACCTTATTCCAGAACCCATTTTTATCCTAGTTAAAAGCAACTTCTCCATCAGAGGTTACAATTCCACAGTTTTGACAAAAACATTGTTTTTATTATCGCAGTCCTACTGTTGAGGGCAGATTTTCTCAGCATATTCCTCCTATTAATGTTTGACAATATGTTATTTGTATATTTTGAAACAGAACTGAGACACACTAGGAATATCCGGACTTCGATGAAACTGTACAGCAAGCCCCCTATGTAATTTGTTCTATACTTGTTCCTTTAAGTCTTCACCAATGTTTTCTATGCATCTTCCAAAAGTGTTTGCTGACAAATCCATTTTAGTCTCCTATAGAGACAGTCTGAGAGAGTTGGAGCTGTTCAGCCTGGAGAAGAGAAGGCTCTGGGGAAACTTTATAGGAGTCTGTAGTGGTTTGAGCCAGGTTTTCCCCCTGAAGCTGAAAGTGGTAACCCCCAGGGGGTGGTGACCCTTGGGGCTTGACCCAATCAATGCTCCTGCAAAATATAAACATATCTCTGGAGACCGGAAAAGAAGCAGTAGTACTTGTTGGAAGAAGAGGTGGCCATGTTGTAGTGAGCCACGAGGAGCTGGGGCTCCGGCCCCTTAGGGGGCTTTGCCCCCCCAGCCCCCGGTTGGGGGGCTGCAGGGACTCGGAATGGTGTTGAAGCTGGACTGAGTGCCTGCGGCTAGGAGCTGGGGGAGTTTTCTCCCCTGTAAGCAGAAGTGGGAGACGCTGGGAGCAGCGACGGAGCAGCAGCAGAACAGCAGTGTCCGAAGAGCAGTGGCAAAGAGCCAACTGATAAGAACCAAGAGAAGCAGCAGATGCCGGTATGCAACTGAAGCAGACACAGAGTTGTCTGAGGAAACAAAAAGAGCCAGCAGCAGAAAGCAGGACAAGAGACCCGAGCCAGCGGCAGGAAGAGAGTTTCGGAGGGTAAGAACTGGCTCAAACCAAAACCCCCAAACTCGCTAGAGACCCCTCTGAGAAAGAGGAGGGGGTGGTGGACTGAGTGGAGTCCTAAAGTGCAGTATGCACTACAGAGAGGAGCTAAGAAGCTCCGGCCTCCTGAGAGCTCAGCCAGGATGGCCAAAGGAATGCGTGTGGAGGGGGTGACCTTGGGTTTCCCCCCCCCCTTGCTGCAGCTTCAGAGAAGCTGGCAGCCATCTTTGAGGCAGAGCATGGGAGCTCTGCACAGGGGCTTGATTTCCCCTGAAGATACCAGACTGTCACGAAGACCCCCGTGCTTCGTGATATGACCGTGGTGGAACGACCTTGTCTGGGGTTACGTAGTCCACGGAAAGACCCCCGTTTGAGGATGGAGGGCCGAGGGGCTTGGAGACCCCCTCGTGTGTGCTGGCAGAGAGCCAGCAACTGCTTCTGCTGCCTGAAAGAGAAGAAGAAAGCCTGCTGCCTAGAGAGAGACCTGTTGCTCAGAGACTGGAAGGGGTCTTTTCTTCTTCTTCTCTCCTGGACTTTTATTTGGAGGGAGAAGAGATTTGGCCCATTGTAAATATTATTGTCATGGTAGAGATAGATATAGAGTTAAGATTGTATGCAATGTATTATAGTATTTATTTATGTGTATAGTCTTTGTAATATATTCCTTCCCCCATATTGAGTCTCGTGTTTTTGTCTGGAAAACCCATCTCACATGGGGTTGAGATGTGGGTGGGGGGCTAGGAATCAGAATTGGATTTTGGGCCTGCTCAAACCATGACAGAGTCTTTCAGTACTTGAGGGACGGCTTCTAAAGGAGAGGGAGAGTGACCTTTTTCATGGGCAGATAGTGATAGGAAAAGAAGGAACAGTTCTACTGTTTCCTTCCCATGCCCCAATGAATTGCCTTGCACACCCCCTGGGATCCACTGCACCAGTCTGACTCAACAACACCAAATGTGCCAAAAAATTAAGTATCTGGTATTCAAATATGGTGTTCAGAATCTTGAAAAATCAGATAAAATGCTTTGACTACCTGCTATAAGGGAGACCTTATAGCACCTTCCAGAACCTACGGGAGACTGGAGAAAGACTTTTGACATGAGCATGTAGGAATAGGGCCAAGGGTGATGACTATAAACCGAATGAGGGCAGGTTTAGATCAGATATTAGGAAGAGATTCTTCCCTGTGAGGGTGGTGAGGCCCTGGCACAGGCTGCCCAGAGAAGCTGTGGCTGCCCCATCCCTGGAAGTGTTCAAGGCCAGGTTGGACAGGGCTTGGAGCAACCTAGTCTGGTGGAAGGTGTCCCTGCCCATTCCAAGATGACCTTTAAGGTCCTTCCTAATCCAAACCAGCCTAGGAGTCTATGAATACTAAAATCCAAGTGATTATGCAGGTTTACCACCATCCTACAGGACTGTAAATCTGTTTTGTTTTTAACTCCCTACTATGCTGCTCATCTAACTGCACACTGTAGTGGAAGGTATTATTTTCCTGGCCCTGCATCCTCAAAAAACACAAGTGACTTCATAAAATAGTTTCAAGAATTAGAAAATGTTTAAAATATTCTCTGTGTCAGATGTATGTAAGAGAAGGAGCACACTTCCATGATTAAAAAACAATTTAAATTTTTCCAAGTAGCCTGGAGAACTGTAATTATGCTGATTGCAATGTTTTTGGATTAATTGTAGTGCTTCAAAAGACAGGAATTAACGTTTCTGTACCTAATGAGACAGGTGCTGCAGCAGCAGCAGCAGCAGCCCCTGCTGAGCTTGGTGGGGGCGTGCCAGGCAGAGTTGTCTCTATTCCACTCTCTTCCATCATTTTCCTTCAGCTACACAAAGCTGTGAGGGAAAACACAAAAGTATCTTAAGAAACAAGGGGAAAAATTTTAAATTAGAATGCAAAGGCCACAGCACAGTTATTTACATCCATGAACTAAGCAAGTAGCTCAAACACCAACTCTGGAAAAAAAATTGACTTATCTCAAGGACACAATTATCCATCATGTCTCATTTCTCCTGTATCTTCCCTTTATTTTTAGGACTGTGATAATACTTCAAACTCCAGGCCTCTTTCTAAAAACCTTACTGTGCATGCCCAGCTACTGCTTTCAACATATACTGGTGGTACTTAGGAGAGTAAAAACACAAAAGTAATTACACATCATAAAACCCATATCCCAAGAAAAACTTAACTGTGGGGTAGTATTTTGCTGCATTGTTGAGCTGCAGTAACCCAAACCAGAACCTGTGACTTCCAGCATGAATAAAAGTACAGTGAAATTAATTTATACTGAACAAGTTTTCCAGTACAGACTATTCCTGTAAAATCCAAATACCACACTTCCCTGGTGATGTTATTAGAAATGAAAGTTAATTGAAAGCTTTGGGTTTTATTGTGAAGGCCAGTTTACATTGGAAGTACCTTTTAACACAGTTGGGTAAACCTTTAGAATATACTACTTCTAGAAAAGTAGAGCTATATGCTTTATTTAACAATCCTAAATTAAAGTACAAGGCCTTAGAAGAAAAGGAGAGATGCAAAATTAAGATTTTCATGAACACCAGGTGATTTTTGTTCTTCAGTGCAGAGGCAGCTTACCAAAAACCCTGCTTCCTCACCAGTCTAGTAAACTAGATAGTGATGATTTGCACCACTCCCTGAGGCATCAGTTCTTAAGGAAGTTTTAATGAAATAAAAATCATATATAAAGGAATTATATATATGAAAAATAGACATGCTTAAAACATTTTCCACCATATCCATTAAATCAGTGGCTACTGAGGACTGACAGCTTATTCCCTTTAAATTTACAGAGGAAAAGGCTTAGATAACATGTTGAATAAAAATACATGTATATAAAAAAGAAATCCCCTTACAAAAATACAGGGGTTTTCCTCACTTAAAAAAAACCCAAAACAAAACAAAAAGTCTCTTAATACCTCATTGTTGTTTTAAATGTATATACAACTCCTAACCTAATATGGAGGAAAAGTTACTGTTATTATCATATTGAAAAATCCAGAAAGCAGGATGTCAATGTCAGTCTTGACAGGTGCACAAAACAAATGAAAGCATCAAAATCACACAGGAGAAACTACAGTCCCTCTGATAAATTAGTGTAATTTGTATTAAGTGATTTAAGACTAAAAGCTTGAGACCGGCCTCAGAAAGAAAGTAAACATGGCTTATGTGCAGCACTCCAAGAAAACTCTTATGACAGATGGATTTTAGGTTGTGAGGATCTCTAATTCATTTAACATCTTTTTTTCAGATGGGATGAAAGGGTCAATAATTGTTTGGTGGGTAACAGACTGTCCTTGCAGAATGAGTACATCTCACCACCCCTTAGTAAGGAACAGCAAAGTCTTTCATTAAACTTCACCAAGTGGAAGAACTTGCAATATTAAGATTCTTTATTTTAATAAATCTACAGAAGTTCACATTTCTGCACACAGAGGTATTTTTGAAGTCATTCTTCTTCCAATTAGACACTGCAAAGCAAGGAAGGATTATCCACTGTGCAATTAAAAGAATCACTGAACAAAACCTAGGAATGTTTTATCAAGGCTCTTTTAATCTGCTGCTTGATTACACCTAATGCCATGATTAAAAACTGCTGAGGTGCTTCCCACTTAAAATAAATTCTGTGGCCACGTAGAATGACTGAAAATGTTGCACAGATCAGCTCTGTGCAATGATGTTGTAAAGCTTCAGAAAGTTATTACAGTGGTTGGGCAGGGGTGAGAGAGAAGGGGCAACCCACGAGAATTCAGCTGAGTCACATCTGAAAAATCAGGAATTAGCAGAAAGGTAAATTACTCTGTAGTTGCTTTTCACAATTAGCTTAGCAATGAGAAAGGTGAAGAACAGAATCAGTAATCCCAAATGTGCAGAAATCATGTCAGTTGCTAAAATACAATTAAAAAATGACATGGAACTGACTTAAATTAAGTCTTGACTAATAAGAAGCCTGCACAAATAACAGCTTTCTGTATACTGATTTCTCAACTTAAGTCAGTTGTAGTTTCCATGTGCTGCATGAAAAAAGGTAAATAATTAAAAAAAAAAACAAGACAAGACATGGGAATATGCAAAAGCAAAGAAGAAAACAGGTGTAACTGTAACTGTCTTTTAGTGGTTTGGGGAAAAAAACAGAAGTAATAGTAATAATTCTTCATAACCCAAGCCATAAACACATGATTTTCAACAAGTAGGACCTGAAAACAGGAAAAGTCAGCCTAACTTCTGAAGGAAGTGACTTTTGTGCCTCCTTGCAAACCTGCAAAGAAGAAATTCCGAGACAGGCATGGTGAAGCACGCGGAATTAGGTGAAAATAACATCAGTATTGCCATCTAGTGATTTGTGATGATAAACTGATTTCACAAATTTAACCATCTCACCATGTTTTGACAGGGGAAAATCTTGTGTTATGCTTACCTGGCAGTAAAAAAAAGAAGGGATATTAAAAAGGAGAAATACAGAAAACCCACATTCCCAGTCATCCTTAAAATAACCCCTTTAAGAAGTAGACGCATGAATTTTGTTAGGCTTTCATCAATTATTTGGTTAAAAAAGTAACTTTTTCAGTACTAATGAAGACATTATACAGATGATGTTAAACTCTCATACAAAGAAAATAAACCCACAACTCTATCTCTAGTTGACTAGTAACTACTTTTACTGATTTTCACCAGCTGAACCTCATGCATTAACCTAAAACCAAATTTCAGCCATTAACCTAATTCCGAAATGCAAGGCATTTGTGTACTCAACAGAAAATGAGAGTAAAGCTCTGATTGAAAATCTTAAATCGTGTTAAAAAGCAGGAATGAAATAATTTGATTTAGAGACTAAAAGGTTTAACTGGCAAATTATTCATCTTTTCACTTTAGTTTAATAGGAATTAATTACATTTGTGCTAATATTTTGCAATAATCTTAATGACACAACCACTTCAAAAACATTCTGCAGGTTATTACTCTAAAATATAGAAATTCACAGCTAATGATAAGATTACTTACAAATGGAGATTAGCAAATTTCACATGGATAAAAACACAGAAATCAACCATACTTGAAAATTTATGATGAGGTTGTATTCTCAGTCATCTTTAATTAACACTTTCCTCTATTTCAGTAGATGCTTCTGCTAATAAAAACTCCTCACAAAACAACAGAAGAAATACCTTCAGCTGTCAGAGACAGAGTGAAGCTCACATCAAACAAAACGACAACTCTCTTTTAAAAAATCAAACCAAAACAGAGCTGGATTGTATGTTAAGTTTCACCTGCAAAATCCCTCAGGTTGTTTTTTCTACTTTAGAAAGGGTGAGCACAAAGTCAGGGACAAACTTTCTTTCAGCATCTGATCTGTAGAACACAGACGAACCCTGAGGGCACACAAAATCTCACCAAAGCCAAAGGAAGGGCAGAGAGGGATCATCGGTTTAATCACCTCATATTAAATGACTTTTTCCAAAGTCCAAAGCCTTAAAGAGAGGGCAATAAACCAAACCAAAAGCAAATTAAAAAAACCCACACCAAATCTGCAGAACTCTCTATACCTGTTGTATATTTTCTGAGTATTTGGATTCTTTACTGATGTTACAATGCACCTGTGTGTGAGTTCATCCCTTGGCTTGAAATTGAGCTGGTCTCAGCACTGACACATAACATAAGTTTTCCTCATTAATGCTTTACAGTAGAGAACTGAAGCTAAGTCAACTTTTCTCCAGCTGATAATGGAGCTGATTGCAGCAGGTAAACACTGCTGTGCACTCTTTATTTTGGGCCTCTCTTTAAATTGAACTTCATCCAAGTAAACACTGGCACTTCACAGCTTTAACATGAGGTAGAAAATCACAAGAAAAAATATTGTGGAATTTATTGATTATATATTGTTTTGCAATACAGTTCAATGCAGGATGTGATGTATTTACCAGCAAATAGTGAAAAATATTCAAAGAGAAATAAAGTTGGTTTAGATCAGATATTAGGAGAAAGAAAGTTCTTCCCTGTGAGTGTGGTGAGGCCCTGGCACAGGTTGCCTAGAGAAGCTGTGGCTGCCCCATCCCTGGAAGTGTCCAAGGCCTGGCTGAGGTAACTTTGGATAGTGGAAGGTCTCCCTGCCCATGGCAGGGGGTGGGACTGGATGGTCTTTAAGGTCCCTTCCAACCCTGGCCATTCTGGGATTCTATATTCATAGCATAATGTTAATCACAACACTTTCATTTCCTTTTCACCTTTAAAAAACCCAAAAACAAATGCAAAGAAGTCTGTTCATCAGCCAGAACCCAGTGTGCCTGACCTAACATAGATCAAGACCGCTGGAAACACCTGGTGTGACAGTAAGAATTAGCCTTGCCTTGTGACTCTTGCAGGCCTAAAAGCTTCCTAACCTTATCAGAATTATTAGAATTAGAATTATTTTTTTTCACACATTCTCTGTGCCACTGCCAACCCTCAGGGTTTGCCCCAGACCACGCCCCCCCCATTACCAAATATTTAAGCATCAAAAAGCTCACACACCACTGATGAGCACAGTGGGAGAACCACTGATCTACACATACAACTACGTAACACCATCAAATAATACCATCAAATAACACCATACGATCAAAGGAACTGCCCTGTACATCCCAACAATCTGCACCAATCACACCCCCCCCCCCAATCATATTCGGGGCATGGATATCATGGGATGGGATGTAACAGCTCTACCACTTTCAGAGGTGTTTCCCCCCCCAAAAAAAAAGTTTTGTTTTATTTAATATGACAATAAAAACAATCATAAAAAGGGGCAAATATTACCTCCAGTGACACTGTAAGAAGTAATAAGCCTCCTGAAGCGCCACTTCTATACGACATTAAGAGATTCCCAAGGGCGAGGATTCCCACTGCCAGTCAAGCAAATTTGGGATGAAACCACAGGGGGTTTAGCAGGACCAACACTCCCATTCCTCCCTGAAAGCAGAGCCCTGAGGACCCAAACACCCCTAGAGCCCGGAGGAAGCTCGGTGGGAGGCAGGGGCAGGTTAACACACGGGACCCAGCGAGGCACCGGGACAATCCCGCTGGGAACTCTCCCTGACCCTCACCTCGCCTCGGAGCACGGCGATGTCCGCACGGGGAGCGCAGGAGCCGCTGGAAGGACGCGCCAGGACAGGACACGAGGAAAGAACCCGGCACACCCCGCACCTCCCGCAGCCGGCGCGGGCCCCGGCACCGCCTGGCCCAGCCCTCTGCCCGCTCCTCCCCGCCGGCGGCCTCGACGGGTCACAACGCGGCACCTCCTCCCGCCGCCGCAAACACCCTCACCAAGCCTTAATCACCCCTGTCCCGGCCCGTCCCTTCGCGGCCTTTCCCGTCCCGGGGATGAAGGAATATCCCCGACGCTGCAGAGGACTACAACTCCCAGCAGGCCCCGCGCCGCCCCGCCCCTCCCCGCCCTGCCACGTCTGCAGCTGCCCCGCTGCGCCGACGGGTCCATCGGCCCCACGCGGGGGGGTTCGCTCCTCCCCTCCCGCACCCACCGCGTGGTTCGCTCCTCACGCATCAAATGGCGGCGCGGGCGGGACGCGGTTAGTGCCACGTTGGCGGTGAGGAGGAGGGGCGGGAGGGGAGAGGAAATTAAACCGTGCGGTTAAACCTTGCAGCCTTGGAGAACTGTTAGACACACTATCTAGATTTCTATCTAGGGGGATTTAAAGTGTAGCTCCGTTAAAATTATTTGCGGTTACATAATCCATGGAATCAGGTTGGAAGAAAGCTCTGATGTCATAGGTCCAACCTGTGATCGAACAGCAGTCAGCTAGACCACGGCACTGAGTGGTACAGACGATTAAAGACGTCCAGTCTTTAATCCTTAAAGACCTCTAGGAACGGGGACTCCGCCGCTTCCGTGGACAGCCCATTCAAATATTTAATCACCCTTTCTGAGAAGAAATTCCTCCTGATTGCCAATCTAAATCTCCGCTGGCGCAGTTTGAGGCTTTGCCCTCTGGGTCCAATGGATTGTTCCTGGGAGCAGAGTCCGACCCCCACCCGGCCACAGCCTCTTGTCAGGGACTTGCAGAGAGCGAGAAAGTCCCCCCTGAGCCTCCTTTTCTCCAGGCTGAGCCACCCCAGCTCCCTCAGCCAGTCCTGGTGCTCCAGACCCTTCCCCATCTCTGTTCCCTTCCATGAAGATGCTCCAGCCCCTCAATGTCTCTCCTGAATCGGGGGTCCTAGAACCGCTTCCAGGATTGGAGGTGCCTCAGCAGTGCCCAGCACAGGTGGACGGTCCTGGTCCTGCTGCCGCACTATTCCCCATAAAGGCCAGGTGCCATCGGCCTTTCTTGCCACCTCGGCACCATCAGCACCATCAACACAAACAGCTCCTTTGTCTTCCTTCCCTGGCTATGGGGAGGGGGGAGGAAGGGAATTAAATGGTGCTCTTGAATCTTGCAGCCTTGACAAGACACCAAGCCCCCTTTTTAGGTTTCTAATTATGAGAATTTGAAGTGTCTCTCACTTAAAATAATGAAGGCCTGATAAGTAAGGCATGACAGAGATGCTTGCACCAAATGTATGTGAAATATTACAGAAAACTCAGCAAAGCCAAGTAGCTTTGGATAGTGTGAATTTCAAGCATTTTTTCCAGGAATTTTTCTTTTTTTGAATTTCACATTGAAATTTAACATTAGAGGAACACGAATTGAGAGTGAACATAAGTGAGGATCAAAAACTGAAGCTTTTAAGCGAGCGTTATTTCTTGACATTTCAGAAACTTCATGTTACTCCAGTGACAAAAATTGCCCCCACCTTTAACAGCAGTTTCAAGCCTCTTTAGAAAACAACTGAGAACGTGACAATCCATAAGCCTGTAATATACCTTGAAGCTATATCCTGATGGAGAATAAATCTGTACATTCACTACAATCTTAGAGAAACACACATTGAGATACTGTCAGAATTTTTTGCTGTGCTTTGATATGGTTTGAAGCTGGCTCCCTGCCAAGTCTCCAAACCTTACCACCAGAAGTTCCCCCCCCCCCCAACAAAAAAAAAACCTCAGGGAGAAGAGGGAGAAAAAAAACTAAGAAAAACCCGAAAACGAGAGAGAGGACAACCAAACTGATATATATAAATATATTTACACTTATATACAATTTCACAAGGGAAAGGGAAAGGGGAAGGGGAAAAGGAACAAAACTAAAATAAAATATATATATATATATATATATATCCCTATCAGTAGCCCGAGATCTAGTAACTAAAGAACAAAAGAGTTAGCAAAGAAGATATCTCACTACTCTCCTGGGACAACCGAGAGTCGCTCCGGAACGATCGCCGGCAACCTCTGTCTCCCAAGGTCGGCAAGGCCTAGCCAGGCCTCGCTCCCCAACACGGCAGACTCAACAGCAGGGAACCTGCACCTCCAAGCCGCCGGAAGGAAAGAGAGCGAAGGCCTCTCCTCCTCTCTTCTTATAGTCTGGCTTACGTAAAAATCGTAGGGAATACTGGGTAAATCTGGACCCTTCCTTGGTTACAAACTGGTCACCAAGGAAGGCCTAGCCCAAACCACCACAGCTTAAATCCAGCTGGTGTACGAGTTTTAAGTGTCCAGCCCTTAGATATTTTCCCAGCTATATTTATTTATAAGATGTTTTCTGGAATTCTCTGTCAGGGAGATGCTGTAAGGGAAGTGCCTCTAGAGGCAATGAACCCTCGTGCCGTGTGTACCTGGAAAAGTCTTGTAGTGACAGATAGAGTCTTGTGTTCTCTAGACTGGAGCACGTTCAAACAAATTAGTTATAAGCATTCATTGCATTCTTTTAGTAGTTGCCAATCACAATGTTTACTGGCTTTCAGAGCAAAAGAAAACAAATAAAAAGCCCTTGTTTTCAGGGTTCTGTTATGGAATGACTTTCCTGAGGCATCCATTTGTCTGTGTCCATGTGGGTCTGGTTACTGTGCTGCAGCCTGGGCTGGATGGGCAGCAGAGCCAGGGGAACACAAGTGTGGAAGACATGGCCCGGTGGAAGGACAGGGGGCTCAGCAGGTCCAGCTGGGAAGGAGCAGGGCACTTGAACACCCAGTATGTCCCCAAAGCCCTTCTGAGCACCTGCCACCAGTGAGACCCCTGACCTCTCTGCCCTCAGCCCCAAGTGCTGTACTGGACCTTGCCCTTTTTCTGTGCCGGGTGATCTGACTCAGAGCTGATTTGCAAAGAAGAGTTGGGAATCCTGTAACATTCTAGCCCTGGGAGCTGCAGGCTCAGGGGCTCAACCAGGACTTTTACTTCAAAATATATATATTTAGGGTTCTTTATTATCTCAAGATAGTGTCAAGAGAATAAGCCACAGACTTGTTCCCAAGAGGTACTTTTATTAATTTAGGAGAGAAAATAAGGGAACTTGTCAAAAGTTCAAAAGGGCACTACACAAGCTAGACAAAATGTTCCACCACAATACCAACCCAGCACATACTAATCCACAACACTAAGTCAAGATCCAATCTCTCCACAACACTTAAGTGAAAATCCAATCCCTGCAGCTCCAAGCTACCCAGAGCATCAAGAAAGGAGCAAAGAAAGAGAAGGAGAGGGAGCAAGAAGAGAGAAGGAGAAGGAGGGAGACACAGATCATAGAGCTACCACAGAAGCCTTGTAGGAGACCAGCTCTCACATATCCAGGTGGCAGGGCTGCGACACGAGGCAAACACATGCCCTTGGTTTTATCTGCTCTGGTCCCTATGGCCAACTCCCACAGGCAGGGTCTCTGACCCACCAGCCACTCTGGGGTTCCAGGCCAGGGTGAGGGGCAGTGTCCTCACTGTCCCTGCCAATCTGAGCTGGATCAGGGGCTGCAGGAGGTGTGGTGTGTTATAGTTTTCCCGGGCCGTTTGTGACTGACAACTACTCTGGAGCTTCCCCATGGGGGTTCCTGGGGCTGCCGTGAGGGACATGAGGCCAGTTCCTGTGATTGCATAGCTTGAAATAGTTCTCTAGTGTGGTCACGTATTTCCTTAATTTTAGCTTGTGCCTCCTCAGTGGAGAACGAAGCATTGTAGATGGTTATGCAACATTCAGTTTGAGATAAATTTGACATCCCACATACTCCTTGCTGCCCTAACAACATATCAGGGGCTAATCTGCTTTGCAGGCTCATTCTAGTAGCCTGCTGGACTTGAATATGCAGTTTCTCAATGTGTGTTTTGTCCAATTACTCAATATATTAATAGCTAGGTAATACCTCCTAATACAAATTGGTGTCATTTTAAGGTGACATTGGGGGTAAAGACGTTTTCAAGGAATAGGGGTAACTTTTGTCCAGTGGTATAGTAATTTGGAAAGTCAACTGCCTTGATTGCCTATTCTGCCTTTGTTTTGCCTCTGGAGGGAAAACACTGTGATGGTTATGTCCTTTGGACAATTCACTAAACATAAAAAACACATTCAGGGCAAAGACAGGGGATTCCAACTCTCCACACCTTAGTCCAGTGTGCTGCTCCAATGTCACTTGTCAATAAAACTTCCTGTTAGAACACGTGTAGGCCATATCAAGAAGAGCTCTGTGCCTTGCAGTTTTACAATCGGTTGTGTCTCTGTAATCAAGGATGATGATTTTTGGTTCAGTGTTTATGCGGGTACTGTGGCTGGGTATTGGGTACAGGGGACTCCGCATCTGCTGAGAAGATATTTACAGGTGGTGTTACAGTCCTCATCTTGATTTCTCCAGCCTTTTGAGGGATATCCCCAACAAGTACACATATCTCTTATTAGTGTTTGAACTCCAAGCAAAAATCGTGCGTCTGGAGGATCTCCTGGTCTTTTTTGGCACGTTATAACCTTTGAGTAATTACATAGAGAACTGTCTTGTATTTGAGGCACAGTGAATTTGGGTTCTACAAATGTGGCTTTAAGTAATGCTTGTACAGACCATGCTCACATTAGGTTCTTTCGATTGCTAGGAATTGCATTTGTTATATTAGAAAGGTAAAACTTTCTAAGGGGGGTTAAAACTTGTGGCATAATTACTTTCATATTGATCTGGTGTGTATAATGGGTCAAATAGTGGA